TATATATATATATATATATATATATATATATATATATATTCACATGGGATTGTGTTTTTTTTCCTCATTGAAGCTGTTAAATACAGTCATGTCTGATTTTCAAATATTTTTTTTGCTTCAACAAATCAAAGTTGTGATTCTCCTTATAGTGTGTTGGTTTGGTTCATCTAACTCTTTAACAAACACTTTTTTTAAATTCCCTACAGGAAAAATGTATGTGAAAAACACTTCCAAGACCCAAGGCACTTAAAAAATTAAAGCAAAAGTTAAAATGAGTTATTAGGCTAAAAAAAATACTTATTTACTACAATTAATTTAACATATATCAAAATAACATTTGTGTCATTTTAATTGTTGAATACAGTTGGGATGTACCATGTTTACCATTTTAAGAGGGTGATACAAACAATAAAGGTTTAGCTACTACTGGCTTTTCTTACTAGGTTAGTCATATCACAGTTTATCAAACATATATAATATGTCTCACAACACAAAAAAACAAGATTTGTGTGCCTATAAATGCTTTTTTTTTTTTTTTTTGAAAGTCAGGGAACACCCAAGTCTATCGTGTTCATGGAAAGTACCAAATGCAGTGGACCTGTAGTTCCTTCCATGCAGTCCACATCATTCAGCATGGTTTTCTAACCTTTTGTAGACTATTTTCTGATCCCTCCATTCCAGGAAACTGCACATCTTGGGTTTGCGTGCCAGCACCATCTGAATGACCTCCCGGGAGATCTTCTTCTTCTGTGTGTCCGACAGCGGCACGTACCATTTCTGCAGCCGCAGCTTCCCCTGCCTGCTAAAGAGCAGCATAAACTGCATCTGAAGAGAGCGAGAAACAGAAAGAGACTCGACTGTGTTTGTGCATCATCATGCGTCTAGTCAAGTCAAGCCAAAATAGTGTTCAACCACTCCAGTCATACAGCCTGGAAACGTTCGTCATGTTGGCGATTTAAAAGCAGTCGGTTCATATCTATCATAACCAAACCGAAGCGTTGTCGTTTTGGATGAATTGCTTCTGTTTTTTACAACAAAGCGGAAGGATCGCGTTAGCAAGAAGGCTGCGGCCGTGTAAATGTTAAACATATGAACTATCCACACTATTCAACCACAAGTATTTGCTCCAGCAAGTCCAAATAACCCAATAAAGTCCATAAATGCGTGAGATAAAATGTCGCTTTTACCTTAAGGTTTATATTACACTCGATTCCGTGAGCATGGGCTTTGTGGCTGATGGCAGTAAACGCAGATGTGAGGAGTCCCGTTACATGGACGCATCGCCCTTTTGCCAGATCACCGGAATCCTGTCCTCTGATTGGCTCCGATTCTCACCGATGACACTTTGTATTGGTCCAGAACCGAACAGGATGGGTGAAGCTCCTATACGACAAAAAAAAAAAAAAAAAAAGAG